ATGATATCGCTCTCTGTTTTATGTGACGCAAGGAGAAGTTAGAGTTATAACGTATGGTTGTGCTAATTTTTCCAGCCTCTTGAAAGGCCCTTTCATTCAATATGTACTACATTTTCAACCTCAACTGTCTTTTCATTATATGCAAACAAAGAAGAAGCCCTTATTTTATATTTGTTGAAGTAACTTCCATTTCTAGTTTTTGGTGAAGAGATTCGAACGTCAGTCTTGCCAGAAGACGACAGCGGAATATGTATACAGCATTTGAGGATGAGCCGGTGAGTTTTCTTGACTCGATAGCTTGAATATGAGTTGCAGGGATGATACCCTGCTCTGATGCTGTCGGTCATAGGACTTAAGAAAACTTAGCAACCGAAAGAGATTTCCTAGGAAAAAGCGTCAATAAGAATAATCCAGTAAAGTCAATCGAAAGCTGGTCAAGAGGAATCCGCCGTCGTCTTCTGGTTGGATCCACCTTCAAATCTTTTTACCAAACACTTTAGCAATAAATGGAAGTAAGCTCAATAACTTTTTGTTCACGTGTGGAACCTACTCATATCGAATATAAGTAGCGTGGTCGATTGCAATAACGAATACCTACATGTTTCCTCATCGAAAAGCCTGTATGCTGTCGCAAGTTCGAGTGGGGCTTAGGGATGCGACTTAGGTGAGGTTGACAGTTCAAGTCAGAAGAGATGAGAAGACCTTTTGAGGCTTTTTGGTAGGTAAGTCTAGTTGCATCAAAACTGAGCCTCTAGTTGGTTGAATTTTCGACCACTACTTACATTGAAGTTTACTGAGTACCGTTTAGAGAGATGCACCACTGATGTACAACCATAAAGTGGCCAGGTTTTAATAGATCAAAGAAAAAAAATAGTCGTCGAGTTGGCAGATTCTGGTCGGCCAACCGACCCTCAAGCGGGTGCCAACAGAGACTCACCGTGGCATGAGTGAGAATCGGCCAGAACTGCACAACAGGCAGACTGTTCCATGTTAGGAAGTCGAAAATTCGCTTGACGACATCCTCCGGCTCCTGGACGGCCCAGTAGTTGAATCTGGCATCGAGTCGACTCGAGGGCAGAAGGGGAGCAGCAAAGACGACACCGGCGATCAACTCGTGTCGCATTGGGGCACCTCGATTGGCCTGTGATCGTCGGTGGGTGGTAGCAAACCGAGAGGGAGGCGTAGGAAGAGAATAAAATGAAGAAAATATTCTTTTTAAAATGGATAGAATGAAATTTTTTTTTAATTAAAAATTTAAATATTAATAACAATAGAAATAAGTGGTTTGACCCCGTTTTCGAAACTCTTCAAAGGGACAAGTCTTTGATGAATTGTAGTATGGTGCTAAGAATGGCAAGGATCGCCGACAAAGCCGGTAGAACGTCCGGGAATGTACCAAGTCCAAGGTCCGACGCTGAAAATTACCATGGATACTATGGACCTCTGGCAAGGTGACCTCCTTTGTGATAATACGACCAAGTTGCGAAAACAAGGTCAAACAACTCCTATGTAACGAAAGGAGACAGTGACCCTATTGAAAGCAACGCTATAAATAAAAAATAATAAAAAGTTCAGAAGAAATATGGGCTAAGAAAAATCTGCCGGAAAATAGATAAACTAAATAAATAACTAATAAAACGAACAGGTAAGAAAAACACTAAAGAAGGAACATGAAATTTTTTTTAAAACCGAAATTTAAAATTAGACAAAATTAGCCCAAAAAGATTAAGGCTGTTGGATTAGTGGCCAAACAGCAAAATAAAGCAGAAATAAAGTGGTTTGATTTCATTTTTCAACTTGCTTGTGTTGTCAAGACGATCTAGTTGGACACACCTTGTTCGCAGTCCTCGGTCATAGTAGTTATGAGGGTTTCCAGCTTCAGGTTGTAGATCTGGTTTATTCCCAAACGTTGGGCCGGCATCTAATAAAGTACTTTGAGCTCGTTTTCGCAAATCGTGAGTAGTCACGCTGTTTCCAGTGTCCGATAGTAAAAGTGTAACATTGTCGGACGTCTCGCCGTCATAGTAATCAGCATCATCAGTGAGTCTTGTTCTTTTCAGCACCAGGTAACAAAGATAGTGAGCAGGTAGAGGCACCAGGACATAAGGAGGAGTTATAACACAACTGTGCGGCGTAAAGTTTATCAAAGGAGGAACTTTATTTGTCCCTTTTACGAGCTGTAGCTGGGTGCCAAGACCGGCACAACCCAAAGGAGAAGCCGACGAAACGTCTGAGAATGTACCAATTCCACGGTCTGAGGCAGTCGGACAGAAGACTCTGAACAGGGTGCGTCCAACTAGGCCACCTTGACAACACGAGCAAGTTGCGAAAACGAGTTCAGGTCAATTTATATTGATATTGGGACACGTTCGCGGCAATCCTCCTTCGGTTTCCAATGCGACTATTTCACATATTTATTCCAAATAATATTAGAATACATTTTATTTATGTAATTAAATAAATATAAATACGATAATAATAAATTAATATCACTAAAAGAGGTTCAGAAAAAGATTAATTCTAACAAAATGCGGGGTAGAATAGATTAAAACAAATCAATCAATACATAATTAAAGGAATAGAGAGTAAAAAGAAAATTGCTAAAAATCCCGAAAGCTAAAATAAATAAAACCTTACTCAAAAAAGATCCAGCAGGTTGGAATAGTGGAGAATTAGCCCAAATTATGAGTTAAAAAGTGTATCCTAATGTTAAGAAATCTACCGAAAAATCGACTAAATGTCGCATCTCATGGCCTCACCTCTTCCGCGCCAGGTTGCTTGCCGTTGTCTAGGATGTTGTAGTGAATGACAGCACTCTGGACCCCGAAGATACCAATGGTATAGCAAGTGGAGAGTCGCACCAGACCTCCGGAAGTGTCGGGTTCGTTGACTTGGCGACCCCGACGACGGATGAAACATGTGTTACCGCGCAACTCATTGGCGTCTATCAGAGCGGAGGCCTCGTCGCCCGGCGACAACGGTGGGCTTGTTTGTCGGTTTGCCATGAGTCGTAACACGAAATCGCATCCTCGGTTGCCGAGGAACTGATTGGTTTGCAACACGATCGCTTTTTCAGCGCCCGAGAAGTCAACCAATCCAGCCGAGGTGACCAATCCCTCGGCCGGAGGGCACCAGTTGCCCACGATCCTACTTTGCACCACTCGGACCTGAGCTCGAGCCCCTGTCAGGCGGAGCTCAAAGGCCCGGTTTCCCGTCGCCAGCAAACCCGTCACGTGGATCCTGTGCAAGAGGTCCACGAGCAATGGCCAGTCAGGCCGTCTCCAGACGCCTGGCAAGTCGATCACGACGCCGCCAGAAGCCGGTTCGAGTGGAAATCGTGATCTCCGCGGTCCGTTGGCCGAGATCTCGACCTCAGACCAGTGATAGGCGTACACGTTGTTGCCCACCTCGTCGCCGGAGCCGGCAAAAGTGTCTGCACCTCGAGCAACCAACACACTGCCCCGGTTGCCATGGCAACGGCAGCCGTGGAGAATGTAGGCTGTATGTGTGATGCGCTCTGGGTAGCGCGACAAAACGGCATACTGCGGACGCAGCCAGTCCCAGGTGAATCGTGAGCCGACGGAAAAATGAACCGCATGTAGCGTGTTGCCACTGGAGCCAGGGAATGGAAAGACATCACGCAAAAATATGAGGCTAATTGAAGAATTGCCTTGAGGCTTTGGCAAGAATGAGTCGTCGACCCAAATAAGAATAAGAAAGCTGTGGAGACTTATTTCATATGAAAATGCATTATGGCGGAACTCATAGTGGCCGAACAAATGGTAGAAACTGGACATGAAATGGAATGTTCTCAGACTAGAAGGTTTGCTGATTATGGTACGTCTGTGGTCAACAGAAAGATGAGAGAGCCTATTGAAATTA